TAGCCTCCTTTTTGAGGTTCTTTCCCAATGATCTGCCTTTTTCAGAGAGTGGTGTATTAAAGTCACCAAGTATAATTGTTGAGCTTGTGATCTCTTTTTTCATCTTTTGGAGTGTTTGATTTATGAATTTCGCAGGTCTCTTGTTAGGTTTATTCTCACTGGTTCTTGGTCTATTTTAACCTTGAGCATTATATAGTGCCCCTCCTTGTCTCTTGTTATGGCCTGTATCTTGAGGTCAATTTGGCCAGATTTTAAGATCGGTACACCTGCTTTTTTTGCATTATCATTTGCTTGGTACATTTTTCTCCAGCCTTTAATCTCAGCTTGTTTTGTCCACAAGCTTGAGATGAGTCTCCTGGAGGCAGCAGATCGATGGGTTATATTTCCTGAGCCAGTTTGTTAGACTCTGCCTTTTAATGGCTGAGTTCAGGCCATTGATATTCAGTGTTATTATATCCATCTGTGGACTCTATGATGTCATCATGTACCTTTTGTGTTGGGTATTTTCCTATCTACCTATCTTATCCGCTTGTGTTGTGTGTGTGGTTTATGTTTGCCTTCTTTTCACTATTGAGCTGATGCTATCGTGGGGGTTGTTTTCTCTTTGTCGCCATATGGGTGTAGTTGTTCTCTGTGATGGTCTTTTATTTGCCCTCAGTGAGGGTTGATCTTCTGCCCATACTGGATCGGCAAGGATCTTTTGTAGGGCTGGGTTTCTTTTTATGTATTCTTTGAGGTTGCCCTTGTCTGGGAGGACTCTTACTTCTCCATCTATCTTAATAGATAATTTGGCTGGGTAAAGTATTCTTGGGTTTGCGTTGTTTTCCTTCAATTTTTGGAATATGTGACTCCATTACCTCTTCTTCATCGTTTCCGCTGATAGGTCTGACATACTCTTACTGAGGTACGTTTATACGTGACTGTTTTCTTTTCCCTAGCTGTTTCTATGATCTTCTACTTTTCCTCATAGTTGAATAATTTGACAATTATGTGTCTTGGTGACTTCATGGGATTCAGTTTGGCTGTTGTTCTTTCAGCCTCTTGAATGGTTGCCTGATTTTCATTTATTAAGCTGGGGAAGTTTTCCCATAAGAATTCCCTTGCAATTTTTGCTGTTGACTTCTTTGTTGTGTATTGTTCTGGAAGTCCAATTATTCTAATATTTTTCTTTTCATAGCATCAGACATGGCTCTCCAGTTTTCTTCAGCTAATTTGTTTGTCTTATTTGACTGCTTTTCCCTTTTGCTGAGATCTGCTTGGTTATCCTTTAGGTCACTGGTGTGATTCTCTGCCTCCTCAAGCCTATTGGCAAGGTCTGTGAATTTGCCACTGGATTTTGTTATTTCATCCCTTAATGTTAGTATTTCCCATTGGTGCTTTGCCATTATGTCCTCTATCATTTCATCTTTTTTTCTGCATTTCTTCCCTCATATCTTTTATGAATTTAAGCAGCATTTTGAAAATTTCTTTTTGTTGCAGGTCAATATCTGCTTCTAATATGCCCATGATTAGATTCATGACTTCTTCCGGCATTGTCTTCTGTTTCCTCTGCTTTTTCGATGAAGCTGTTAGAACTTGTTGCTGTTTTCGTGTTGTTTTAGAGGAGCCTGGAGCCATCTTCCTGAGTCGAAGGGCCCTGTTCTCTCTCTTGGGGGATTCATATGAGTACTTCTATGAATTACCTGCTGGTAGCTCTACTCAGGGGTCAGGCTTTCGCTATATCTTCCTTTCGTGTCACTCTTATCCTAGCCGTCCAGTATTTCGTTACTTGGAATGTGTGTTGGATGTATTCCTCACATGTGACACTGGTCGGGTTGTTGTGGGCCCACAAGGGTGTTGCTTCCCTGGCCGATCTCAAAGTAGGCTTCACGGTTCTTGGAGCACCTCGGCTGGCCTGTGGTGGTTTCCTTTGCAACTGGAGTGCTTATGAGTGCATGTGGGTATACTCTCCTTGGTGTAGCTGGCAGGGGAATTACTGTAGACAGAGAGATCACCTTGGAGGTTTGGTGGATGTTCCCGCAGTAGTGTGGAGCCCCACCAGTGGTGGTCAGGCGTTTCCCCCAATCACTTGTAGGGCCTCGGGATTTAGGCTGGGGATTCCCTCACTTTTTGCAGGGGAGAATCTCCTGCTGCTTGGTGTGTGGGAGAGGACCGGCGTGAATTCCCCAGTTGCTTGCCAAGCTAATAAATGCTGGTGGAAGCTCCCCCAATTGGGCCTTCAGAGTTGCCCTAGGCAGAGGGGAGTGGTCTGGAGGCTGCTAGTGGCTTGTGACAGGAAATAGAGTGAAAGGAGAGGAAAAAGAAAGAGGAAGACTCAGACTGGAGCAACAGTGCCAAGCAAACTGATACCCACTCACACACACTCAACTAAAATTCACAGAGTATAAACAAAAGAGAAAACAGTAAAAATAAAAGAAAGAAAGAAAAACAAACAAAAAAGGAGCATGGAATCTGCTGAGGCTGTGGCAGGAAGAAGAGGAGAAAAGGAAACATGAAAGAAGAACAGAAAAAAATTAAAAAGAAGAGTAAAAGAAGGAGCAGAGAGAATTTTAAAAATAAAGAAGTGGCTGACCTTGTGCTGTGCTTTCTGTAGCACTGATCCGAATTGTGTGGAGCCCTGTCTTAGGGGTCGGGCTGCCCACTGGGAGGAGAGGGTTGCCCTAGGCAGAGTGTAAGGGTCTGGGAACCAGCATTGGCATGTGAAAGGAATGAGAGGGAGAAGAGAGAATCATAAAAGCAGAGAGAGCAGCGAAGAGAACAAAGACAGAAAGAGGAAATGAAGAAAAAGAGAAAGACGGGGGGGAAAAAAAACCCAACTATGCTCACTAAGATTGCCTGTGATAGCAAAGAGGGAGGAGAGAGAGGAGGAAATAAAGTATTAAGAGATAGCTGATCCCTGATTGCTTGAATGTGGAGCCAGAGGGGTTTAGACCCTGCCCCACAATGGCAGATTAGTGTGCCCTTTTAATGCAGGGACCCAGTGGTGCTTGGCAGAATGGTCCTAGTTGACGAGATCGCCTCAGAGGTCCGAAGGTTTCCTCAGCAGCGCAGCGTAGTTTGTCCCAGCTGCCTTGTGTGTTGTACAGCACTCCCACGGAAGTCAGACTGGAGTTCCTCCTGCTATGTGAGTTTATTTGCCCTAAGCAGAGGGTGACGACCTGGAAGCCAGTAGTGGCATATGATAGGAGAGAGTGGGAGAGAAGAGGAAAAAGGGGGAAAGAAAAAAAAGAGGGAAAAAGAAGAAAGAGGGGGGGAAAAACCCCAATACAAACCTGAGCTCTGACTGTGGTGGGAAAGATAGAAGGGCTAGTGAATAAATACAGAAGAAAGAGAGTAGTAGGTAAGGAGATAACTGAGACATGATCACCTGTCTATGAGGCTGGAGGAGTTCCAACTCTTCCTCAAGGTAGCGGGATGGTGTACCCGTTTGATGTAGGGTTCCACAGATGCTGTGTGGGGTTACTTCAAAGACAAGATTGCACCCGATGTAGGGTTCCACAGATGCTGTGTGGGATTACTTCAAAGACAAGATCGCACCCGTGGCCAGGCGCCAGTTGAATGCTGGAGTTCACTACATACCTGCCTTGTGCTGTATGTAGCACTGCAGCAGGGGCAGGGGCTGCAGTGTTCCCACAGCTCCGTCTAGGGCCTCAGGGCAGGCAGGGCCTCCCCAGCTATGTTTAGAATCACTGAAAGGGGAGCTGGGCTTATTGTCTTATCTAGACTGCTGGTGCCTACTAGATCAGAGGATCTTATTCTTTTATCCCTCTGGCCAGCTAGAATCAAATCAAATTGTCTCCCACAGTCTCTAGGCTGTAGCTCAGTGCTGTTTGAAGCTGACACTTGCTACAGTGGGTCTTTGTTATTCAAAAAGCCACCAGGCCCCGTAGCTGAGTTCTGGCATTCCTTAGCTAGGTTTCTTCTTATGCTGATTTATGTTAGGGGCCCTCGCCTATGTGCTCCTTCGAGCTGAGCAACCAGACTGGGGTTTGAGTTTTAAACCAATAATATATATTTCACCTTTTTTTTATTATGCTTGTGATGTGCTCTGATTTGGAGGCTGTCAGGCTGACCTCCAGAGGGGGAGATCCAGCTTATCAGGGGCGGTTGTTTTCTTCTTGGCCAGTTGCAATTAAATTCGCTCCCTGGCCTCCGACTATTTGCCTGTTTTCTCCCACACCACGATCTACCTGAGATAAAACTCTGCTTTTTCTTCTACTGTAAATTATGGCTACCCACCACCTCCACTCCCCAGGCTGTGAGCTCAAGGCAGCCAACAGCGTGGAGAGCTCCGGCGTGGGGTTCTCCTTGTGTCTGGGATTCTGTCCCCTTTAGGGCATCAGCCTGGAGAGATCGCTGCTCCCAGCAAGGGCACAGCTGGTTCCTGCGGGCTCTCCAAAGCTAGAGCACTTTAAAGCATTCTTTGTTTGCTTTGTGAGTGGAAATCACATGCGAAAAAGGGGTTCAGGAGAGACCCTAGTACCCTAGTTCTAATTTCAGGGCTCCACCTCCCCATTTCTTTCACCTTACCTTCCAATTTTCTGGTCTGGCAGCAGGAGCTCCAGACAGGTGAGTCCTATTGGGTCGCCATTTTTTCCCGGTCTCTTCTGTTTTTTTATATGTATATAAATTTGTTTTTTTCCAAAGTAAAATTGAATTGAAATTGTACTTTTAACTTTTCTAATGACCTTTTGACTTTTTGGTGTTTTTATTTCTAAAATTACTTTAGGAAAATGAATTCTTAGATCGTTATTACAAAAAAATGCAATTGTGCTTCACTTTAATTAATAACCAGATATTTATTGGTTTGTGTGTGAACTCTGTAAGTTTACTTCTCAGTTACCAAGAAAGTCGTCATTTATAACTATCCTCTTTAATTCAGATCCTTTTTTAAACTCGGTAATCCATTCATTTAAACCATTTCATTTTTCATCAAAAGAATTTGTGGCAAACTACAATTTTATGGTTTTATTTCTTGTATTTCCACCCATTTTCTGAAGGCTTGTAATGAACTTGGACAAACATGGATGGAATCTGGAGTTAGTGAAAATGCCGTTTCAGGACATATACAGCTCATAATTCCTGGAGAATCTGCCTGTTTTGCGGTATGCTTTATTCATTTAGGACTGTTTTTCACTCTTAGCAACGAGAGTTCTTAGCCTGTTACCAGTGAGTTGATTCTGACCCATAGCAACCCATAGGATAGATTAGAACTGCCCCTAAGGGAGGTTTGTTGAAACTGTGAGTTAGGCATTGGGCTGCAGACTGCAGGGTCAGTGGTTCAAACTCACCAACTAGTCCTGTAAAGATTTACAATCTTGGAAACCTTACCTAGTGCCTCTCTGAGTGGGAATCAACTTGACGACAGTAGGTTTGGTTTGGTGTTGGTAATCTCTATGGAAGCTGGCTGCCGTAGCTTTCTCTGAAGAGCACCTGATGAGTTTGAGTTGCCAATCAAGCGCTTAGCCACTGCGGCTCCCCTCCCCACCTGTCCCCAGGGCTTCTCATTCTTAAAGCGTCATTGAGAATGTGTGACAATTCAAAGAAAAAGCACACTTAGACTAGGATGAAATATCACTGGGAACCTCACCACCTCCTTCTTGTGAAATGCGCTTCTTTCATTCCTTTCCGTGCAGTGTGCACCACCGCTCGTCGTTGCTGCAAATATTGACGAGAAAACTCTGAAACGAGAAGGTGTTTGTGCAGCTAGTCTTCCTACCACGATGGGAGTGGTGGCTGGAATCTTGGTACAAAATGTGTTAAAGTAAGTGAGGGCTAACTTTTCTGAATAATTTTCTCTGCTTTTGATATAAATAAATGTATTTCATAAATTACTTCAAAAATTGAAATTACCAGCTAAGGACTGAATTTATTTTTGCCATATTATTTTTATTTTTATATGGATAGTCTGCCCTTCGTATCTGTAGGCGCCCTACATGCACATTCCAGACTTTAGTATTTGAACTGCAGCTTGAAAATACTCAGGAAAATGAAGATACAATTGCTCAATGTTAAGAGGAAGCAGAAAGATACATAGCATCTACATGGTCTAAAGTAGATAAGTAATCTAGAGGATGTGCCTCGTTTATGTGGATACAAAGAGTATATATGTGTATGTGTATATATGCATATACTTGTATTTTTCGTATGTAATGTATTTGTTGTTGTTAGGTACTGTCAGATATGTTCTGACTTATGGGAACCATATGTACAACAGAAGGAAATACTGCTTGCTCCTGGGCCATTCTCACAATTGTTATGAGCCCATTTTGTAGCTACTGTGCCAATGTATACAAAGGGGTGTCAAAAATTCATGGAAAAAAAAAACAAACTTAAAAGATAATGGTATTTTTTCCACCAACTCTTTGAAGCCCCTTCTTACATATACACATATAATTTTTATACATACATGTGAATTATTAACTGCTCTACATTTGGACTAGCTTTTGTTAAATAGTACAATAATGCTGTTGCTGTTGAGTCAACCCTGTCTCAGTTTTTAACCATAGGCTGGCAGTTCAAATTCACCAGCTGCTTTGTGGGAGAGAGATGAGGCAGTCAGCTTTTGATTCCAACTTGTAGGGAGACACCTTGGATGACAGGTGTGTTCATCTGCTACTACACACAAGGTCACAGCTTTGAAAGGCCTGTGGAGCAGTTCTACTCTGCACACATCTACACACATGGATCAGAAAAATCTGACGATGATAGAACACTAGTTATGGCAGTACCTCTGCCATCCCCAAACAGGTGTCCAACAATAAACAGCTATGTAAACAGTCAGTAGGAGTCCTGGTGATCTAAGAGGGTAAGCATTGGGCTGCTAACTCCAAGGTCAACAGTTCAAACCCACCAGTAGCTCCATGGAGAAAGATGAGGTTGCCTGCTCCTATAAACATTTAATCTTTTTCACCGTAATGGACCAGTCTGCCTGACAGGATGGCTATGAGTCTGATTGACTCAAAGGCAATGGGTTAGACCTACTAAAAAGAAGGAATTTATTTGCAAATGAAATTAATATCAAAGCGTGTATGTGCCAACTGATACTTTTTTAAAAGCCAGGCCATCTAGGTATGCCCTAACTCAGGCCTTTTATTATTTTCTTCTCTCACTTTACAACTTTTATAAGCTTAGTTATCTGCTTCTTAGGCCTCTAAAATAAGAACAACAACTACAACAAAAAAGAACCTGGAGCATGACAGGGAGTCACCCTGTTATTAGTGAGAAATGTCAGCTCCCAGCACAGAAATTCTAAAACACATACATAGGAACTCTCAAGGTAGCAGTCTAGGATTGTTTTATATCAACAAGAAATCATCTATAGAGACTTTAATAGGCCCTGTCCAAAAGAACACTTTATAATATGGTACAAAAAAAAGGAGAGAAATCATGGCTACACAATTTTCTATTAAGGATGTACCCTATTTAATCAGTCCTCCACTGATGAACCCTTAGACTAATTAGAAGATTTTGCTATTATCGATAATGCTTCCCAACACACTGCATTTGTTTTTGTATACTAATTTTATTACCATATGGATTTTTAGAAGTGGAGTGAAGTTTCTCTTGAAAGATGTCGCAAATTTCACCTGCAAAGGAGTTGTGCATTTCCAGCAATGTAGGAGTACCTTCCCTCCTTTGATCACATTGATCATTATCAAACTTTTTAGTCTTTGTGAATCTGATTGGTGAAAAGGGGGTATGTCATCGATTGAGAGAAAGTTGAAGACACATTTGTTTTGTGAATTGTCCACTCATATCGATTGCTCAGGGTCTGGTCTCATTATACCATGGATTTGGGGACATGTTTCCCTGGGTTACTTATCTTTTGTACATGACTTTTGCTCTGTACCATGCGTTTCCAGACTTACTTGGCCCACCATTCCCTTTTTAGAAGAAACTGACTCAGCGCCTCCCTAACAACTGAAAACACTTGTACTGCAGCCCGTAAGCCAGAGTGATGTCACTACTGCTCTTGCAGCCTCCTGGATGTCCCAGCCTTTCCCTTCCTCCAGGGGCAGTGTCACTTACTTTGGGAAATCCTGCTCTGTACAGAAGCTTTTTGGAGTCAGATTTGATTGGGAAGAGGCACAGTTAGCTTTATGGGAGGAAGCCCTCGATCTTCATTATGTGAATGATTGTGCTAGAATCACTGAGCCATTTTAAGTTACATAAACATTTTTAGAAGTCGGATTTTGGATAGTATTTCATGGATCCCTGTGATGCTTTGCCAGCGCTATAAGTTCTCTAAAACCATGTCTCTTGAAGTTATGGAAAGGTGGTGGTTGCATTGGTGGCATTTTTATCTGTGTTAGTCATTCATGAAGTTACCGTGTCTTTTATTTCCTTCAGTCACTTGTTCATGGACTATGATCCTGGTCTATAAATGAGAGCTTTGTCTTCTGAGGCATATAACACAAAAATCCTGACCTGCTTTAAAATAATCTTTTGGAAATTCGGGTACTTTCTTTTAATACTCTTTTGGTTTGATTTCTCTATTGATTTGTTTTCTAGGTTTCTGTTAAATTTTGGCACTGTGAGTTTTTACCTTGGATACAATGCGATGCAAGACTTTTTCCCTACTATGTCCATGAAGCCAAACCCTCAGTGTGATGACAGAAATTGCAGGAAACAGCAAGGCGAATATCAGGTACATGTCAGTCTTATGGATGAGGCCTCATATTGCATAGGGAAAGGGAACAATGTGTAGATTTGGACTAGAAGATAAATGAATTCTAGATTTTTAAAGCTTTAATTTATTACAAATGAAAATGAATAGCTTCAAAACCTTTCTCTTTGTTTTAACCAACATTTACAAATTTTATAAATAACTTTTTTACTCTCTTCATGACATTTCCTTAACACTATTTGCTTGGAACTTTATTTTACTGGCAGAGATTTCTATTGTATATGTATTTATAAATCATTTTAGTGGCGGCTCATACAACTCTTATCACAATCCATACATCCATCCATTCTGTCAAGCACATTTGTACATTTGTTGCCATCATTTTCAAAACATTTTCTTTTTTTGTTTTTGTTTTTTTTTTAACATTTTATTAGGGGCTCATACAACTGTTATCCCAATCCATACACACATCAATTGTGTAAAGCGCATTTGTACATCGTTTCTCAAAACATTTTCTCTCCATTTAAACCCCCGACATTAGGTCCTCATTTTTCCCCTCCCTCCCCGCTCTCCCCTCCCGCATGAGCCCTTGATAGTTTACAAATGGGTATTTTGTCATATCTTGCCCTGTCCGACTTCTCCCTTCATCCACTTTTCAAAACATTTTCTTACTACTTGAGCCCTTAGTATCAGCTCCTCATATTTTACCTCCCTTCCTCCCTTGTAAACCCTTGATAATTTATAAATTATTATTTCTCCATGTCTTGCACTGTCTGATGTCTCCCTTTACCCCCTTATCTGTTATCCATCCCCCTGGGAGGGGGTTATAGGTAGGTCATTGTGATCGGTTCCTCCTTTCTCCCCTCACCTTCCCCTTACCCTCCTGGTATGGCTACTCTCTATATTGTCAAAACCCTTTCTTGATTTTGGTAAGATTAAGTCTATTTGAATTGTTGGTTAATGCTTCAAAGACCTGAGATGGAGTAAAAACATTTTTATTTTGTCTGATTTCCACAGAAAAAGGTAGCAGCACTGCCCAAACAGGAGGTTGTTCAAGAAGAGGAAGAAATAATACATGAAGATAATGAGTGGGGTAGGAATCCTTTTATAAGTAGAAATGGCCACTATAAAACAAAATCTTTTATTGGAGGAAATACTACTATATTGTACAAATTTTAGGACCCCTGGTAGCAAGCAATGTGGAGGTTCAAACCCACCACTTGCTCTGTAGGAGAAAGTTGAGGCTCCCTGTTTCCATAATGATTTACAGCTTCTGAAACCCTGTACCGGGGTCACATAAGTCAGAATTGACTTAGTGGCAGTTAGTAACAACTTCTGAATTATTAATATTAAGCTCCTTAAAAACTGCTGTAGGATCAAATTTCATTTTGTAGGTATTGAGCTGGTATCTGAAGTTTCAGAAGAGGAACTAAAAAATTCTTCAGGGCCAGTTCCTGATTTACCCGAAGGAATTACAGTGGCATATACAATTCCAAAAAAGGTATTTTAAAAATCAGATTTATCCATAAGTAAATATCATATAAGAGAAAATGTGTTTTATTCTTTATCCTAGTTTTAATGCCAATACATATGTGCTCTTTTAGATATTTTATACTGTAGACATTAAGATGTGTGTGAGAGATAAAGGTAGTGTTAATATGGAGATATGCATAGCACATTTAAAAAACTATTTGGAAGCAATAGATGTAAAATTGTGTTCATTCCTTAAGGCATTAAATTGAGTAGATCTTAAGTAAAGATAGTTTCGTATATTGGTAGTTTTAACCACCACACCATCAGGAGTTACTTCTTTTGCAGAAGTACTTCTTAAATGCCTTATAAACCAAGAATTGTGGGGAAAGTCAAATATTTTGTCTCTCCTAAACATCAGAAGGCATATTTGTTAAGAAAACCTACTTTAGAAACTATAAATTTGTTGAACATAGTTAAAGCGTAGTGATCATACATTCCTGGGCTTTCAGAAGCCGATGTAGTTCTTTTTTCACTCTGTTTCTCTCCTCTTGATAGCAAGAAGATTCTGTACCTGAGGTTACAGTGCAAGATTCTGGTGAAAGCTTGGAAGATCTCATGACCAAGATGAAGAATATGTAGATAAGGAACCAACATATATTTTAGTTCCTAGGTTTAAGCCTATTCCTTTTCAGTTAAAAAAAATAACTAAAAGAAGGGTTTGAAAATTGCTAAAACAGTGGGCAAGTAGTACCAATTGATGTACCACCTTGACAAATTGCTATCCTCTTGAAAAGCACATGACTTATGTATGACTGTTGTTTCGTGCCACCTCCAGCCAAATCAGTGATTCTTCTAAAATTGGTGTTCCACTCTAGTAAGAAAAGTTCAAAGGATTATTGTCGGTGGTTGTGACTTTTTTTTTTTTTGGTTGTGACTTTTATTGAAAACTTAGCCATTAAAATGTGTTGACTTGTTTTGCTTTTCTGGACCAGTCAGCTGTTATATTCATTCCTTTTTCTAAAAATTCCTGTCCTTTTTCTAAAAATTCCTGGTGGTCTCTTAACTGAGGCTCATGGACAATAAAGCAGCATATGACCCTCACATACAGAAATAAGGTGAAAAAGTACAACCTATTGATCAGGCTAGCAAGCACCTATTCACTGTGATTGGACTTGCTCCTACAGGGAATTGTCCAGGACCACTACCTGGACCCTAGTGAGTGAGAGACAGTCAGCCTGTGAGAAAAAAGCATCTTCTCAAATGCTTCCTGAAGAAGTGCACATTGAAATGTAGTCATTGGAAACATTCGTAAACTTGTGAGTCATGTATTTGAAACAAAGAGGGCCAGCAAATAAAACTTTCCTTATGGAGAGAGAGAGGCGCACTTCCAAGAAGGCCAAATTTTATGTTCATTTTCACTGGTCAAGGAAAGGAACTGCTGCTTCTCTGAACAGGTATCTGGATTGCCTGTACTTTACTGAGGAGCCAGAGATAAATTTCTGGTACAGTCACCCCAATTATGTCCATCACAGGCTACCTTTTGAATATTTTGCTTCATTTGAATTTGATTTTCTAAGTAGTAAGATATGGTTAGGGATTGTTCTGGGTGGTGGACATAGCAGCAGAGGTCCAAATTGCCTCTCTTTACATGTCTCTCTTCACTGAAGGAGTATTATTTGCTTTGATTGTGACCACTAAACTATGAAGTAATAAATGTCATCTTGGAGTTGCCTATAAATAATGGAAGCTCAGAGAGCCTTGGGCAGCCCTGGTGGTATGGTGGTACTTGTTGGGCTGCGATCCACTTGGTCGGCAGTTTGAAACCACCATGCCCTCCGCAGAATGATTGGGGTTGCTCTGAGTCAGCACTGACTTGATGGCAGTGAGTTTGTTGATTTTGAGAAAGCCTGACTGAAATAAATTCCTAATGGTTTGGATTTCAGAAAACTACAAATGTAACCATTAGCTAACTAGCCTGTTCTTTATATCAGTATATTATTTTGATTTGTTTTTGTTTTAAGATACAAATGTTTAATGTTAGTGTAAAAGTACATTACCTTCTTGTAAAATGAAGTTCAAAAAGTGAACCTTAGAAAGCTCAATGATCAAATATGTTCAATGTATTCATTTTATGGGTTTAGGGTCATTCTGTAGTTCTTATGTTTACAATGAAGTCAGGAAAGTGAAGATCGTTCTACTCTGGAAGCTTATTTATGTTGTCTGGCTGGGTCATTTACCATTAAAACAAAACAAAACACAAACTTGATTGTATTCATCTATACATCTAGTTACTGGAAATGTTTTGAATTTCAAAAATATTCTTTGTAAAAAGAACCACTTCCTTGGATGCTCTGGTATACAAATTGGGTTGGGTTTTGCTTACAATGAGAATTTTGATTTGATAAGACACCTGCCCAGGTAAGCTTGGCACTACATCATTGTTAGAGCTGTCCTATGTCTGTTGCTATACGTCGGAATTGACTTGTTGGTAGTGAAGTTAGTTTCTTTCTTGTTTATCACATTGTGAACATAATACTCTTATTTGAGAAACCCAAATACATACACGCAAAGAAAAGTTTCTTATCTTTAAAGTAGGCAATCTACATGAAACATTTGAGTTGGTAGTACAATTAGATATAAGGACCTAATAGGGGTCAGAATGTGAGGCTCCCCCCAAATTTGGCAACAGTAAAAATTTTCTGAATGTGCTATGATGGAAAAAAACAAACACATAATGAATCCAAGGTGTTTCTGGCAGCGCTTTCACCTGTTGCAAATTTCTCAGGTGAAAAGGCGTTAGGAGTGGCAAAAGCTTAAACCCCGTAATACTGATCTCAAATGATTCCCTCAAGCAGATTTTTAAAACTTTAAACTTGAAACACCAAATTACTGAGACTACTAATGACATTTCAGTCTCTCATAGCTTAATTCTAAAGAAGGTCTGATATACCAACAATGATTTTGTGGCCTTCACAGCTGGCAAACTCAGGTACATTACTGATCACATTTTCTTTTTTCCCCTTTTGAACAATGGTTCTCAACCTGTGGGTCACGACCTCTTTGGGGGTCGAATGACCCTTTCACAGGGGTCCCCTGATTTATAACAGTAGCAAAATTACAGTTATGAAGTAGCAACGAAAATAATTTTATGGTTAGGAGGTCACCACATGTGGCACTGTATTAAAAGGTGGCAGCATTAGGAAGGTTGAGAACCACTGCTCTTGAACGTCTCCCCAAAGGGAGAGTGCTCATAACAGAAGTTCCTGTCTAATTTCTTGTAAGTCACACTACAGTGCCTTAAGAGGAACCCTGGTAGCACAGTGGTTAAAGCACTTGGCTGCTAACTAAAAGGTCAGTGGCTCAGACTCGCCACTGCTCCCCGGAAGAAAGGTGTTGCAGTCTGCCTTGGGAGCTCCAGAGGGCAGTTCTATCATACAGGATTGCTGTCAGCTGGCACCAACTTGAGGGCAATGAGCTTGTGGCTGGAGTGCCTAAAGTTAATGGTGGGTGAAGTGCTTAACTACTGACACCACCCCCACCCCACCCCCCAAAAAAGGGTAGCAGTTTGAACCCACCAGTTATTCTGTGGAAGCAAGACCAGGAGGCATCTTGGAAAGATGACAGCCTAGTAAATGCTGCGTTAGGGCAGCAACTCTCCCATCGAGTTGCATGAGTCAAGTCATTTTGCTAGCACACCATACAGCGCTCTGAATTATATTGTTTATACATAACTTGGTAGGTAAAAATTCACAGCTATCAAGTAAATTCCAACTCATTGTCACCCTATACAGTAGTACAGTAGAACTATCCCTTTGAGTTTTCAGTTCAGTTGCAGTTAACAGCCCAATACAGAGCATGCTACACCACCAAGTGTCTTAAGTTGTCTCTTAAACTAAGGTGACTACCAGACATCTGAGGATGTAGTTAAACTGCAGATTCTTACTCTAGCTCTGGGGAGAGGCTCGAACGTCCGCATATGGAGCTCCCAGAAGGTGCTGAGGATACGGGTTCAGGGACTACCTGGGAGAATCTAGGTCTTGGAGAACATTAACCCAAACCCTGTAAAACTCATCAAGTCCCTCAAGCTGAGGAAACGCAGAGTACTGGCAACATTCAAGTCTTGTAATGTTCTTAGTTATGCAAAATGTAGACTACTTGTATAAATTGTAGTAGAAAAAAACCTTAAGAGTTCACTTTTATTTCAGAACACTGAAGTACATACTGGAATTGTACAAATATTAAAATTATTCATATTTTAAATTATATATACATATATTAACCACAAAACAATATCCAAAATGTTGTTAAAAAAAAAAAAAAGCTAAAATGTGAAAGCATTTAATTTCCAGTATAAAATGGCAGATTGGGTTTGAGGTAAATGGAGAGACAGATGTAGGCCATTTAATAGAGAATATCATGTCCCTATTTGGTGAAAGGTCAAACAATGCCAGTAAGTTTGACCGAATGCTGCTGGTTTAATAACTTCCAGCATTATTCAGCTACATATTACCGTTAGATACCATTGAGTCAGTACTGATTCAACGACCGACCACGTACACAGACTGAAACACTGCCTGGTCCTGGCACTATCTTCACAATTACTGCTGCGCTTAAGTTCATTGTTGCAGTAACTATCATTAAGGGTCTTCCTCATTTGCTGACCCTCTACCAAGCATGATGTCCTTCCCCTGGGATTGACTCTTCAGGATAACATGTCCCAAGTACGTGAGCCAGTATCTCACCATCCTCGTTTCTAAAGAGAGTGCTGGCGGTGCATCTTCCAGCGTAGATTTGTTATGACTGTCCATGGTAATATTCGATGTTTTTCACCACCGCTCTTTGTCCAGCTTTCACATGTACATGAGACGCATGGAAATAGAACGGCTTCAGTCAGGTCTACCTCTGTCCTCAAATGCAGTCTTTGTTTCTTAACACTTTAAATAAGTCTTTTGCAGCAGGTTTGTCCAATGCAAATGTTAGTGTTAGGGTTACAGCCATTAAACAACGCAGAGGGAGGGATTGGCCCAATCAAGAAAAAGAATCTTTTAACCGCAGTAATCAAGGATTCCCACGACTCGATCTTTGCACTGAAGAGAGAACTCAAGGCTTTCAGAAACATCAACTATTTAATCTTTTGAAACTTTTCTTTGAGGTAGAGGGCTGGGCCAGACTGAAAGCAAGACGGGATGAGTCATGTGGCTCTGAGGAGATGAACAGCGTAACGGGGTTCTTGACTTTGTCACCTCCACTGCTGTCAGCTCCCGAACAGAGCGGGCCAGCCCAGCCTCATGTCGTCTTAAAATTCTAATGTGTCGGCCTCCCGGGACCCCGCGGAAAATAGGGAAGTCAGGGGTTTTATCCAGTTAGAGCAGACATGATCAGTATTCAAGCTTCAAGGAACTCCGATACAATTTTGTTCAAATATCAGTTAAATTATACAACTTAGAAAAAAGGAAGTTGTCTTAAAAACAGAGTTTTAAATTCAAATGTTCAAATACTTCCTAACCTATCCTCAGGTGAACTGGAACTGTTGCGATTCCCTTGGTCCCTGGTGAAGGAAAGCATGCGGAGAGCGCGTCCTTTGTAAGCTAAAGGCGTCTCCACTTGATGAGTGCTGAGAAGGAGCCTTCCCCCCGGGAGCGATGTCTCTGCTTCCTTTATTGCCATTGCTCTCTTGTACAGTTCAGCGGCCTTTTCAAAATCTCCTTCTTCATAGCTTTGAGGGGGGAAAGCACAACCACAAAGTCTTAAAGTCAGAATTAAAATAAGCTCTTAATGCTATGTGACCTGTTGGGGCACAGAAGAACAGTGAATAATGTCTCAACTTCTTTCTTCAGCGAGCTCCCTCAGCAGTCAGGCTGCTGTGGATGGTTTCCGGGACCCTGAACAGCATTCACACGGTGTCCCAATGGAGGTGATCACATTGCTCAGGGAGCCCAGGCGCTCTGCAGCCCGAGATCAGCAAAGACGAGCTAGAAAGTCGACATTCACGTTCTGGCAAATTTAGCTCAAGAATAGCAAACTGCCTCTATTTCCTCCAGAGTCAGTCACGTTACAAACGTGAACCTTCCGTGATACAGACTAGATGACACAGCCTTCACTCCACTTATTCTGGAGACGACCTTACTATTTCTTTCTTTTTTTTAAAACCGTTTTATTAGGGGCTCATTCTTATTTCTTGATGTACATCAGCATCCATACCCTCCCCTACCTACTGTCACCCTACCACCAAGAAAAAAGCATGTCCCTCACAGTGAGGGCTTCTGTGATGAGTCAGATTCAAGCTGTTCTAAAGGTGCTAAAGATTTCTTACCTAAGCACTGCCAAATTTTTTAATGTTTCTCCAACTCGAGGATGCATCCGACCCAGGCTGTCTTCATAAATCTTTAATGCTCTCTCATACAATGGCAAGGCTTCAATGTGTTTTTTCTTAGTAAGAAAAAGTAATAATGCATAAATATTAGGTTTCTGACAATGTATTCTAGACTAAGCTAACATACTTAGTAAACACTTCATAAATGCCAATACTCCTAAAAGATCTGGATAAGCATATTAATTAGTGACTAGCCATAGGGAGAGTAGTATAATCATTGGAATTTAATTTAAGCACAAACCTGTTTCTTTATTTCCCAATGGGTTCCACAACGAATCTTTACCCCTCACTGGAAAATGCCATAAGCTTAAAAGTGGAGAAAGGGAGGGAGCCTCCAAAATTTTTAATAAAAATGAGTTCTATACCATAAGCTTAAAGAGTTTTACAAGTTCTTACAAATGTAACTCAATAATATCTCAAGTATTAAAGGAAGCATGGGCAGATAAGTAATAATCCTAAAGTTTCTTCAGTTATTTTTACTGTGTTACGCCTGAGTCAAATTTACATTTTATACTCTATGAAGTCATACAATTTTACAAGTTAAAATGTGAGGCTTACCATTTGGCTATAGAGAACAGCTAAGTTCACCAGGGCAGTAGCTACACTAGGATGCTTTGGGCCAAAGGATTTCTGACGAATTTCAACAGCCAACTCATACAAAGGTACAGCTTTGTCAAGTTTCCCCTAAAAATTGAAAGTGAGTTTTACTAAGAATATTAAGTCATAAATACCATTACCCGCCAAATCCTTCATAGATTAAGAAAACTGTCTACTAAGAGTTAGGTGGAAATAACAACAGTGGGCTGTATAATACTCCAGCATCCTTCAGTGCCAGGAAAACCCAAGGACCAGCCTATGCAGCTCTAATTGCACCAAGCGGGAGCCAACTGTTTTTTTTTTGTTGAAAATAGCTAAGTAAAACTTATAAAATGAAAGAAAAAAAACACTTTATAAAATGCTCTGGAAAAAATGACCACATTTAACTCAGTCCATAATCAAGGAAGAGTGAAATAAAAAGGCTCGTTTAATCATCTACAAAGACCCCTCGTCAAACTCAGGTGAGTTGTGTTATCTGTATGTGTAGTTGACACACACATCTTGATGCTGGCTTCACTTTGAAACTTCTGAAGCCTAAGAGGGTAAGCTGTCCTTAGAATGCTGATGATTATGGAAAGGGAGGAGAGGAAAGGGGAGAAAAGGGAAACTGATAGCAATGATAGATGTATAACTCCCCCTCAAGGGCTACATAAGATATGAAAAATATATATATAATAAGGGTTCACAGGGGTAGGTTGGAGAAGGGAGGGAATAAAGATGAACTGCTATCAAAGGGCTCAATTAGAAAATGTTTTGAAAATGATGACGTTTGTTCAACTTTGCTTGATATAATTGATTTATGGATTGTTATCTGTAAGGACCCTCAATAAAATGATTAAATATAAATAAATGAAAATAATTTAAATGCAAAAAAGAGAATGTTGATGAATGCATTTGCATTTGGATTACATTTTTAATGAATTCACTCTAGAATCTTAGTAAGTCTAAAGTAATATTTTGAAATCTTTTAATCAGTTCTGTTAAAAATTAATATCATTTAAATGTTGAAAGAACTGATCTAACAAACATTTTTGCTGGTAGTAATAATAGCTTACTTGTTAAATTATGAGACACGAAAGCATTGGAAGGTTGCTTACCATTTTCTTATACAAGATTGCAAGGTGCTTCACCGTATAAGCCAGAGAAGGGTGGTCAGGTGCTAATGCTCGCCTCCGAATGTCTAGAGCTCGTTCATAGAGTTCTTCTGCTTTATCATACTGTTTCTTTTCATTGCAGAGAGCTGCCAGATTATTCAGAGACTGGGCACAGTCAGGGTGGTCTGGTCCTAGAACTCGCTCCCTCATCTCTAACGAACGCTTCAGAAACTGGTCAGCTGTGCTGTGAACAAAACGGCAAATAGTTGGAACAGTATATTTGGGTAGTGAGAATCCGTAGCCCTGGGTAAGTGGTGACGTGAGATGTTTTACTCTTACATCCAAAGCCAAAGCCCACTGCGGTTTCATGTGACCTTCTAGGACAGGCTCGAACTGTCCCACAAGGTCTCCAGAGCTGTAGTCATTTTGGAGCAGGCTGTAGCAGCTTTCTTCCGGGAGCAGCTGGTGGGTTTGAACCACCAAGCTTTTCGTTAGCAGCAGAGGACTTTGACCAGGGAGACTCCAGGGCGTTGTCTTAAATCCAGGGCACTGAAAATGAAGGATTCGCTCAACAGCCTCTTTTTGCCATCTCCATCCTTTCCTGCCTTTACATTAAAAAAAAAAAAAATTCTTTCATAATAATTGAAAACCTAAAATTTCTTGAGGATTGCCTCAACTCTCTACTTCTTAACGCTAAACCCTATCAATAGTTCCAAGACAATATTTATGTAATTTTAGCATTATGTAGTCCAAATCACAAAAGCAAACCCACTGCCATCACATAAATTCCGGCTTGCAGTAACCCTCGATGGGGTATCAGAGACTAACTCATTTTGGGAGCTGACAGCTGCCTCTTTCTCCCCGTGTTATGCATTAGGACTAACGAAACAAAAGATCCCTTCAGGGTTCATAGTAAATCATTTTTAAGCAAAGAATCTTCTGAAAGGTAGAATAAGTGCTTGTATTTTCCTGGAATCCAAAAAAGTCCATACATTTTTTCCCCCCAGAAAATACAAAACACCATTTTGAGTTTTATTAGTGTCCAAATGAGCAATAAAATCAGCAGGCATCTACATTCTGCATTTTTTTCCCTGTGAGCATTCAAAGCTAATAGCTGTTTAAACTCACTTCATAAAGATATAAAACATACTACAGAAGTGACATTCATTTTTTAAGTACTAAAAAAGCAAGGTGAGAAATTAAGTAGAAGACCCTGGTCTTTGTTGTGTGTCTGTGTTGAGAGCATATAATCGAATATGACATTTAGCATGGTTTTTGATCAATTTTTCCTAGATGAAAGTTGGTATAAATGTACAGTAGCTTTGTATGCAAGAGATGAAATGGGTGTGTGTGTTCATTCCTAGCCATGATACTCACTCCAGGTTATTTTGAAGATAGTAGAGGACGCCCAGTTCATTGAGGGTGCGAGCGTTGTCGGGCGTGTCCTTCCCTAGCGTGAGCTCCTCTAGCTGCAGGGCCCGTCGGCGCAGGAGAGCAAAGCCGTGCTGGAGCGGACACAAAACAGTCAATCACTGAGTGTCATCTTTGGCTTTGAGATAACAGACTCAATTCCTTAAAATTCCCTTTTCTTCTGCTTTAAAGTAAAGAATTACTTTAACCATTACACTGAATTAACCTAATGGTAATTAAGAATATATGCATGCATAAGCTTAAATATATTAAAAACTCTTAAATGCAAAAGTACAAGATATTTATTTTTCTTAATCCTATTAAAATGACTATGCAATATGGAACTAGACTTCACAGTACTTCAGAAAGATTTGGAAACAATTAAGTTGCAAATATTTACCACCTCCACCCACTGTTAAAACACTTAAACATGAAGTGCTTAAAGGTGAATATAGGATTTTAAGTTATGAGAAAGGCATATGAAAAGTTCAGGTTTTATCAGCAACGTAGACAAATGAAAGCTGTGTCTTTATCACTCCAGGGAAGAATTATTCCACATTTGAGTCTAATTAGTCATAGTCCCCAAGTCCCTTGTATTTCCTTTTCCAACTCTTTAAGGAAAAGAATTGAGCCAGCTTTTAAAAATGGAACGAAAAAGACTTTGTAAAAGTCTTTGATTGGACTGATATTTAAATACATGCAAATCAATACACAAGTGTCAATGAGCACGTGTCCAGAAGTCACTGTCCAATGGGAAGCTTCCACGTGTGAGGTGTGTGCACTGCAGGATGGGTCCACAGGTGTGCTCTTGCTCGTTCAAGACCCAACGCAAAAGAAGTCTCTCCTTACCAAGTTGCCTTTTCTCTTAGTAGCTTTCTGGCGAATTTTAAAGGACTTTTTTCGAAAATGTTCAGCTTGTTCATATCTTGAAGTGGGGGAAGAAAGGTCAAACAAAAGAATCAATCCAAAGTATCACATTCCCGTGAGGAGACAGTCTTCCTCACCAAGTGTACAACCTTTTCCTCGACTTAAATACAGCATTACTTTTAGCAGTGGTTTTCATATGAATAAAAAATCTCTATCCGAGTTCATAAAATTAAATCCAGTGAAACAAAATAAATCTAGCCTCCAGAGAGTGGGCATTTAATTGTTGTTTGAATCTCTAATGGGCAACCTAACTAAATGAAAACGCTACAATTTCAGTTTGCCAGGCCACCTTCTGTACAGGGTGAGTTTTGGTCACACAGATGCCTGTGATTCACACAATATATATGAGAAACACTGTCCTGAGAATTAAATATTGTCACTTCATGAAGTAGAAGAAATTATTTCTGACAGAAGCAGCCATGCCATTCAGTGGCTGCCTAGCAGACAAATGAGACTTCAGATCATACAGGGGCTGGCAAGCTTTTTCGCTAAAGGACGGGCAGCAGATCATCTAGGGTTTGTGCGCATATGGCTCTGTGACAACCACAGAACCCTGGATGCAACCATGGACAATATATACACCAAGTGATGTGGCTGTGGTCCAGTGACACCTGGTGGGGAGGAGCGGAAGGCTACATTTGTTTCCTGGGCAGCAGCTTGCCAACCACTAGACCAACCTAAAAGGAGCTCTGGTGGCATAGCGGTTTTCGAGTCGGGCTGCTAAAAACCAGGTTGACATTGTTCAAACCTACCAGCAGCTTCCCCGGAGAAAGACGAGGCTTTCTGCTCCTGTAGTGATGTACACTCTCAGAAACCCTCGGGCAGATTTACTCTGGCAATGCAAGGAAGAGGGCTTTGAATACAGAAGGAGCCCTGTCAGGTAAGCACTGTACTGCTAAGCACCAGGTCTGTGCTTTTGAATCACCATCCTTTCTGGAGAACAAGACTTTCTGCCTCCGTGAAGATGTACGGCCTGCACAGGACTCCTGTGAGTGGGTATATACGTATATACTCCATGGCCGGGAGCTTGGTGGGTTGGGTTAAGTAATGCACTCAATTTTCAAAGCTCATCAGTGAGTAAGATAAGATTCAAACCCAGGATTCTATGACACGTGATCATCTAGGAATGAGTCCTGTAGTTTCAGTTTTCTCTGTTAACCCCAGGAAAACTCAGACAAGGGAATATTATTTGAACATGGTGCATTCAAAACAATACAGAATAGGGAAAAATTGCACCAAACAAGGTTTATCACATGAGTCTATTAAAAAACATGAAACTTCCCCTCATCAACCAGAGACTTCGTGATGTAATTCTTACTTGTTTTGCTTCTGGTACAAAGTCGCCAGTGCCTCAAGTTCCCGAGCAGTCTGTGGATGGTCGGCGCCGTAAGCATTCTCTGAGATTTCCAGTGCCTGCTTATATAGCTGTTCAGCATTGCCGAACTTCTTCCACTGCACGTACACACTGGCCAGCTGGTGGAGAGACTGAGCTACTCGTGGATGATCTGGATCCAAAGCTGTTTCTCGGATTTCTAGAGATCTCTGCAAAGGCACCACAGCCTGGAGAAAAGGTGAAAGCCAGTTCCAGGCTGTGAAAGGCTGTCGGCTCGGTGGTCTGGTTAGCCATTCCAGCTCTGAGCGCAAGACAGGACAGCTTCTTAGGGAGAAAGAGAGCAGAGTATAGCCAGACCTCACGAGAACCTACCCTGTCCCAGGCTCCCCGGTGGAGTTACCTGACCGAGAAGACCCAGATCCTTGAGAAACCGCCCCAGGGTTTCATAAAGATCAGCTAAGCAAATCATGCTCGCCTCGCCATCACAGTTTTTCTCATACTGCTTCAAGGATTCAAAATATTCGGCTGCCATCGCACTCTTGTCTTTGCCAACAAACTGCCAGTAACTCAGCAGCTCAGCGAAGTGGCCTCTGTGTGAAGAAATGGCCGTCGTTTCATGAGCCGCGCACTCACCTGTGCTGTTCAGCTCTAAAGAATGAATCCACATTCAAAGAAACATGGACAATTGGACTAGGGATCAGAAATCACTGAAGGAGGACAATGGGAAATTGAGGAGTGCACGCAAACAAACTGTGCAGCTATGTTGTGAGAAATGACTGCGTTTCTGAGTGAGGAAGTAAAATCCTCAGGCAGCCCAGGAGGTCGGAAGCTTGACTCACAAGTCCCTGAAGAGACAGAATGCACTTATGAATGACACGGTCACGCTTCCGTCTATTGGAGAGCAGAGTGATTCGGGCTGCTCTTTTCAGATAGCTGAAGGCCGGGTGGCTAAGAGTTACGCTCTCACGCAAGAATAGAAGCTTTGGTGCAAAAGAGGTTGAGCCTTGGCTTCTAACCAAAAAGTTGGTGGTTGGAACCTCCAGGTGCTCCTCAGGGGAGATGTGGAAGGTCACCCCCTACCTAAACCTGTAAGGTCATGATGGACCAGACACATGTCTTCTTGGAAAAAGTAGATCTCACAGCATGGTTCACACACTCTTAAACTTTCTCCCATACAGTTTGGACCACCAATTAGCCTAATTTCTAAATTGAAAATATCATTTATTTCCGTTGTGAAGTTGAACGGCTGTTTCAATCTGTCCCCCGCCCCCTCATTCCCCACCCCCAGAGAAAGGTTTCTTACCGTTTATAAAGGTTTTGCGAGAGAAAGAGGTTGAGAAGGCAACTGTGCAACATCTGCTTGCTTCCCTGCTGCTGAAAAAGCCATGGCAGCTCATCAGCACTTCGCCAAGTCACCCTGTCCTGACTGTCAGAGAGGGACAGCAGGCACTCAGTAATACCGTCCCACCATGAGATTGCCTCAGAAAGCCTTCAGCAAAATGCTGAAGAGAGAAAAATGTACTGAACATATACCTCAGACTCATAATACATAACCAATTACTGAACCAGTCCAAATCAGACGTATGGCCAACCTAACTGAAAAATTCTATAAGACAGGATCACCGACCAAACTCTAAAGGCATTTTCCAAATACTGAACTATTTAAAAAAAACAAAAACAAAGAATCTTAAATGGGTCTACTAACACAGACACACACATATATAATATATGCACACACATCAATTACTTAACTGGAATATAAATAATAAAATTATCCTGAATTGGGTTTCCTTGCAAAATTCTAAAACATTCATCCAATCTTATCTTCTTATGCTCTTTTTATTTTAATAGAAAAGGAAGAGGTTTTAATTTGTTCTGTAACAAATTTTCATAAACATAAGAGATAAAATAAGGATGGACACAAGGGAGAGTGTGCTGTTGACAAGGATTAGGGAATTTATACTACCTTAGCTGCTGGGTGAAATATTTGATGAGCTTCTGCCTATACGAAGAAATAATGGTGGGGCCTTCCATATACTCCAATCTTACTGTTTCCCAAGCCTAGAGGAAGAAGAGAACAATATTACATTTTATTTCCTGTATGTCGCCAAACAGCGAATGAATGTTAAAAAATGAATTTATAATTGTTTTGATTCTATAATTATATAACAAAAATGGTACTAGGATCCTTAAAAAATTCAGGCTATACATATATGGAAAGCTGATAATAGAATAAAATTTTCTATATGAATACTTTAAGAACTCAAAACAACTTCATTCAAATGCTTGTTAATACAATGGGCTTGCAAAATGTTTGTGGTAAAATTCCATTATCTCTTAATTCCATTTTTTCTCAAGCTCTTTGAAGCCCCCTTGTCTGTTAGGAATCTCAAAAATATGGAGTGGCACAGTATTAGAGGTGACATAATCAAAAGGAACACAATAAAGGGGGTAATTAAGCCAGGGAAACCACAGTCACACCACAAATGCAAAGCATACTCCAATGGGAACTTCCACTTGTGTTCATAGGTTGCAGCAACAGAAGCTAAACTTGCTGCTAGACACTATTTACCAAGCCTTTATAACGATGTGCCATATGTCTTGTCTAGTGCCTCACACAGACTAAGGGCGGTTCACAGCCCCCGTGGAAGGCTTTTTAGTTTGCCCAAGGCTCACAGAGAACTTGCCCAAGATTGTATGGCCAAGCTGAGAAGGAAACTAGGTTTGTAAACAAGGGCTGGATGACTAAATGGAGCTCAAGTTCTTTATTTACAGATAAGTTTATGTGTGTCTAAGGATCCGTGGAGAGACAAGGAGCTCACCGCTCAGCTGCTAACCAACAGGCCAATGGCTGGAACCCATCAGTCACTTCTTGGTCTGCTTCATTAAAGGTTCATAGCCTCAGACACCTTGTGGAACAATTCTGTTGTCCTATAGCATCACTGCATAGAAACTGATTCCACAACACATGAATTTGGCTTCTTGGTTTATATGTTACATCGAAGGAGCCCTGGTGGAGCAATGGTTAAGCGCCTGACTATCAACTGAAAGGCTGGCAGTTCACACCCACCAGTCATGGAAGAAAAGAGCTGGCAAATTGCTTTCCTAGGGATGTCAGCCTGGAAAACCTTAGAGGATCATCTTTGGCCTGGTGGGTTATTATGAGTTAGAATTACCTTGATGACACACAAAAGAACAGCCCATGTGTGTCTGCTGTCTGGTGAAATGTTTACTTGTTGGCTCAGCAACAGTCTTTGTAACTCCCACCTCACATGTGGATGAGACCATTTGGATTTGAGGTCCTGCTTGTTTTTCTGACGGATTTGGGTAAGAGGAGGTGGGGGTAGATGCTTATAGGGTTTTATGATTCAGGTATGACTGACTGTTCACAGGGAGAATTGGACTGTAAAAGCTTAGAACTTATCAGTTTTGCCAGCTTGCTGGGTATAAAGTGAGCCATCTCAGAAACAGGAGGGAAAGCTCTCACCACCATCGAGGAAGAAGAGCCAGAAATGGAGCATATTCTTAGAAGCCCAAGAACCCTGTGCTTTGAACTTTACCGAGGGACCCAGGGACAGGAAGCAGTAACACCAGAGAAGTGGCAGAGATGCGCCAGCAGCAAAACCAAGAGCCAAGGCAGGAGAAAGAGCTTGGGCTTCCTGGCCCAGGAGCAAGTCAAGTGCAGTGCCTTAGGGCACTTGTGTGGTGGGATGCCTGCAGGCGCTCGAGGAGCTAGGTTTGCTGACCCAGGGAGTTAGAGCTGAGCACCTCTGGGCTGAGACTTAGGGAGGAATGGCGTGTCCTTTAGGTATTTTATCAGCAGCGGTAAAACTGCCCAAGCAGGGCAGAGGTTAAGGGACTATGTCACTGAGAGGCCAAGGTCAGAGAGAGGCATGTCTGAAACATCTTAGAAGAGGTAAGAATTGTAACCTGCTAGCTTCCATGATAAACCCCATAATTGTGAGTTTGGTGTGACCCCTTCAATGAATTATTGAACCCCGCAAGACCATTACATGCCATGAGAGGTGACACACCATTTTTATAGTATTTATACCAGTAATTCAATGAAACATCACAATGAAACCTATGTCTTCCGTTTTTCAGAGAGAAAATGCTTTTTATTGTAATAGCTACCGCATAAAAGAACTACATTAACATGTGTACTATCAGCCAAATTCTGTATCTGACTTAAAACCACTGCAAAATATGTTTGCAATACAACTTTCAGACCTCAATTTGAGCTACAATTTAATATAGTAAGGCATTGTCAAACCAAGCAATGATATGTTGACACAATTAAGGAAAAACATATTAAAAGATTACACTTACCTGAAGATGTTGAAATTTAAGCAAGCCACAACCATAAGTTAGCACACACACTTTGTGTAGCCTGTGAATAAGGGAGGCCAGGAGAGCCCAGGACACCTCGGGGCAGACTTCCTTCAGTTCGGACTCACTCACGCCATCGTGACTAACACTGACGAGGCAGAGAATCTAGACAGAAGAGCCAATGACAAAGCACCTCCCTCAGTGATGGGTAGCCATTAAAACTATAATAACTACTGTAGACTTACAAACTTCCTGAAACTTTTAATTCAAATGAGTTATTAAAATCTAGAACAAATATACAATACTCACCAAAAGGCATTAATCAACAAAAAGTGTGAATATATAAAATCAGTAACACCAGCGAAAAGAGTTTAATGAAAAGTAAAGCTACATGAAATGGATTTCTGAACTGATGAGTCCTAAATGTCTGAGAGGCGGACTCGCTGTCCTGCTCCCAAACCAAACTCGGCGTCGTGGAGTCAGCTCTGATTCAGAGCAACCGCATCGGACAGGAGAACTGCCCCCAAGCATTCCAAGGCTGCAGCCTTTCTGGGAGGAGAGGCCACCTCTCTCCTACACCTCTCTCCTACACAGGCTGGTCAGCTCCAACCCCCAACCTTGCAGGAACCCAGCACTTCACCCACTGTGCCACCAGGGTTCCTTCCAATATTACGAAAATAAAAACCCAAGTCAAACCCAGAGCCAACAAGTCAATTCTGACACATAGTCACTAGAGTTCCTGAGGCTATAAAACATTAAGGGGCAGCAAGCCTCATCTCTCTCCTGAGGTGGGTTTGAGCCACTGATCTTGCAGTTAGCAATCCGTAGGAGACAACATATATAAAGCATTACTAAATGCACAATTGAGCTTTTGAAAAAGAAACAGAATCCCCTAGGTGCCAGCAGTGAATAGGAAATTGAAAATCAGAGAGCTCAGTGCTGGACCTACAGAGCTGCTGCCCTCTGGGCGAGGATAGGCAGCAGCCCTAGTAATTTAAGGGTTAGGGTTTGCACACCCACAGTGGGGATGGGAAGTCAGTCCTACGCCCTGAGACACCAAGAGCTAGAACTACGATGCCTGCCAGGACCTGAAAGCTGACCCCTCAGTGGAGGTACAGCCAGAGGCAGAGATCTGCTCAGTCAGAAGGTGACAGGAAAACTGGGCTGGGCATGGGGTGAGAAAGCAAAGCCCAGGAACCTCCATGCTGATAAATGAGCAGAGAAGTGGATTTAGGTTCGGACTATTAGAGTTTGGAAAGATTGCTAGATATAAAAGAAGTTTTCAGTAAACAAATTCCCATACGCTAGCAACAAAACAGTGAAAAACATTACAGAATACTTAGGAATCAATCTTAATAAAACATGTGCAGGACCTCTATGGAGAAGATAAAGCATTATTCAAAGACATTAAAGAAGATGTTTAAATAAATGGAGACCTGAAGAGGTTTCTATTTCCACTGACAGAAAGACATCATTCTCCCCAATTTAATCGCTAACTTCAATGCCATCCAATGAAAATTCCCAAAAGGGCACTTGCTGAGTCACTTCTAAAAATGCCTATGCGGAATGAGCCAAGCCAACAGGAAAGAAAACTAAGTAGTAAGCGGGGACATGCTCAACCAAATACCAAGGCTTACTTTAAAGCACGAATAACTAAGGCCATGTGAACTTGGCAAGGAAAAGACAAAACTCAAACAGAAATGTCTCCGCGTTGACCTTTGTTTATGTGAGGTTGATCTGATAGTGACATTACAAAGCACTAGAAAAGAGAAACTATTTAGTAAAGAGGACAACTTGGCAGCCATATGATAAGAGATTAAAAAGTAGATCCCGTACCTCACACAATGGATAACAATCTATAAAAATTAAGCATTTACATGTGATGAACAAAACTATATACAATTTCTGTGAGTACAATGGGGGCTTCAAAAAACTCATGGAAAAATGGAAATTAGAAAATGGAATTTTCCGATGAACTTTTTGAAGCCCCTTTGTGTGTGTGTGTGTTTGTGTGTATATGTGTACATATATGCATACACATATAAGTGGCCATTCCGTTCTAAAGTAAGTGTGAACAATGAATTGGTGATTACTAAACCATTGATCCTATGGATGGAAGTACAGGCTGGTGGTCTCGAACTGCTGACCTTGTAGTTGTTAGCAGCCATGCTGCCACCAGGACTCCTTCATTTAGGAATATGAACCTCAATTGACTCAAATTTTTCACCACTCTGCCCAAGGTCCACAAATAACTACGAGAGCAATTTGACTATGGATTTGAGGGTTACAAATACATTTACTTTAGAGTGAGTAGGGAGCCCTGATGGTTGGGGTGACACATTGGGATGCTAAGTACAAGGTCAGCAGTTTGAAATCACTCAGGAGAAAGATAAGGCTTTCTATTCCCATAAAGAGTTACAGTCTGGAAACCCACAGGGGAAGTTCTACTCTGTTCTATAACACTGCTGAGCTGGAATAGACTTCGAGTCAACTACAAGCACAGAATCTGTATATAATGAGGTCTGGTGATGTGTATGAATACCTTTACTATAGCAAAGGCTTTATGATAGCAAAGGATAAGCCATCAAAGAAATGCTGATAAAATGAGTTCATTAAAATAAAACTTTGTACTAAGAATGACTCTATAACATTAAAAGACAAAAACATGCAGGAAAAAGACATTTATTTGCAAACTCCATATCAAAAGATTTATATACAGAATGCAAAACATTTAAGAACGTCTATACATCTATATAAAAAATACCAACAACCCAATTTAAAAACGAGTAAAGGAGCTCACATGGAAATTCAAATGAGAAGAAACAAGAGTAGTCATTCAGTGCAAAGAGGAGGCAAGTCCTACTTCCTACCACACAGGGGCTGGGGACTTCCCAGCATGTTTGGAACAGAAAACAAAAACACACACAAACAAACGCACTGGCATCAAGTCGATGCCGTCTTGTATACTTAATGACAAATGAAAGAACTAGCTTTTAATTCCATTCGCAATAAAAACAAGAAAAATATTCTCTCTTGGAAGTTTATTACACTTTACCTGTTTCATCAACTCTTTATCCATATCGTTCCCCATAGACTCCTGGATAGACCGCAGAACAAGTCTATACAATGAAACTGTGTCTTGACACAGGAAACACTGATGAAGGGTTTGATCAACATTGCCTGCTCTCCCAACACTGTGGGAATGAGAATGGATTTAATTTCTTACCGACTGCCAATATTTGGGCGCATATAAGAACAATGTGGCCTCTATTCTTAATATGCTGTTATTAACAGTAATTCAATAAAATAGAGTCACCAATTCATTTAGTTCTACCATTTAACTCAATTTAATATGTGTATGCTGGGGTGTTCTATATGGCAAGCAACTGCTATTTGTTATGGAATAGCAAAACAAATAAATGAACCCTCTCACCCAGAAGTATGACATTTACATATATAATTAGAAATAAGTGTTATTTGTTAGTGAGCCATGCAAATTAAATTTGTTTAAAACCAGGATCTGAAAAACATAAGGCACAAGAAAGTGAGCAAATAGGGGTTTTAAGATAGTACGGGAGGGAGCTTTAAGTTTGTGAAAAAGAATCCATTCTCTCTGTTTTTTTCATGAGCTTTTGAAGCACCTTTCAAATTTATTGGTCATATTTATAACCAATATTTATGGTTGTGGGCTGCTTTTTTTCCCCTTAGAAAGGTCTGTAAGAAGGCAGGCGGGTGGCCCTGTTGAGTAAGCAGAGGACTGCTCGCTGAAAGGTCGATGTGGTCAAAACACACCAGCCACAACTTGGGAGAAGTGGAGGCGACCTGCTCCTGTAAAGACGTGAAGAGTTTCCGGAATCCCAGATAGGGTTGCTCTCAGTTAGATGAGGGTTGATGGCAATGGGCTTTTTGGGGTATGTAACGTGAATAAACAAAACAAAAGGCCTATAATCAACCAAAACAAACCTGCTGCCATCAATTCAGATTCATAGGAACACTACAGGACAGAGTTATAGTGTTTGGGTTTCTGAGGCAATAAGTCTGTATGGGAGCACACCCCCATAGTTCTCTTTCAGAGAGGCTGGTGGATCTGAATTGCTGACCTTGTGATTAGCAGCTTAAAACTTACCCTTTAGGATAGCAACTGACCAAACACTGGAGCTGCCCACACATACCTGCATTCAATGACACCTGAAATAACGCTTTCATATTTCAGTTGTTTCTCTTTTCTGAAACTATGGACCTCACGCAGGAGGGCAAAGATGGCCCGTGTTCTGCCACCTCTCATAAGAAAAAGTTTGACGTGATGAAAATGAGAACTATATGCAGCAAGTTCTTCTACCCCATCTCTGGTCATAAACACAGTCCCATTCACACAGGTGGTTAGTGTCACTGTTAGCATGGACAGAATCCGAGGGCCCCAAGAGACTGCCGCAGAGCTGAGTTCTCCCTTTCAGGGGCTAAGGAAGTCTGCAGCAGACACAGAGCATGCAGAAGACCATTTAAACGGATCACCACTTACTGTGCAACCATTTTGCCGAAAAGGGTGACATAAAGGGCATTGCAGGTTGTAGCAGAACGACAGTGCCGTTCTAGCTGCTTCTCCTGCGGCAGTTTACCAAAAACGAAACAAAAATATAAAAACCACCCTGGAATTAAGCAGTTTTTACTACTAAGCCACCAACCAACACCCCAGTGGAAATGACCCTGTCCCTGCCATGTCCTCAGCGACCTCACCACCACGCTGCAGTGGAAGCGTCTTGCTGTGGACAGTCTTCCGACTGCAGACTGAAGAAACACCCAACGTAGAATTGCTTTTTGCTTCAAAATGCCGTCTTAACATTTTATCTTAAAGTAAGCCTTGAGACCAAATTCTTGGTTATTTCTACATGTCACTCGTTTGAGAGAATGCATTTAACCAAGTAAATACTCTTGTCCTAACAATTACTCCGTTTCTATATTGAATTTAAGTCTCATATAAAATGTTCGACTGATAGTGAAAGATGGCATGCAAGGAAAAATTCCTACCTGCTCTTGACTCAACTGAATGTCCACAGAGTGGCATTCTGCAATTATAATAGATTTTGCATCTTTTGGATTCAAAGGATCGAGATGAAGTGTAGGCCATAACCTTTTAGAGAAAGAAAAAAAAAGATCTTCTAAGAAGATAGATATATATAAACAAAAACAAGTTAAAATCCCATCACAGGAATTGTATTTTTAATACTATATAAAATAATCAAAACAAATCTCTTATTCATATTACATAATACTTATTTCACTCATTGTAACATAGGTAGATATCATTACTTTAAGCAAGTACTCACAGAAAACAAATATGCTTGATACAATTGATGTACGGAATACTATAAGACCTGTAAGAACCCCTCATAAAATGATTTAAAGTAGATAGAGTCACTGAAATAACAACAACAAAAACAGCTTAAGTGATTGGAAAGAACTAAAGTTAGCAGCATACCTCCATGCTGGTGGGCATGTTTCTACATTCACAGAAACAATTACTCTTACATTCACTGGCAGTGGGTCTATCAGCCATTTCATGTGTTTTTCAACTTGCTTAAAAATATAAAAACAAAATTCAAAATCTATTAATTCAAAAGCTTTCCAAACAACCCAATTGATGAGTCCCCAAACAAAGCGAAACTCCCAATGCTGTCTCTTATGCGAGTAAGCCCTTTGGGGGTGGTTTAACCCAGAATGGTGGAGAACAAGGGGCAACCACATTTGTCACTGCTGGGATTTCTGAACACACGGCTCTAAAACGATGTCCAAATGACCCCTCGGTTAATTGCGGTCGCTGTTCTTTCTCATGAAGACATTAGGGTCGACCGGATAACCGCATTTTGTACCCAAAATAAACATCAACATTTTAATTTACAATATATCATCTAAAAGGCTGCTCTAGTTATCATTGATAGTTTTTGCCTCCTTTTGAGGGTATTAATAGGTTACAGTGTATTAAGCAGTACAAAGTAAACAAACACACAAAGTAAAAATCGTACCTGAACTTGATCGATAGAATCAATAATGACGATGATATTGCCCTGATGACGGGCAGAGAGCTTTTCTAGCCAACGCGGAAATTCCTCTAGAAGCTTAGCAGGATCCAGTGTCAGAGCAGATACCGACCAAGAGTGCTGCATCAACTACCAGATGAGAACATGCATAAGTGGCAGTTACAGTTTACCTTAGACCTCTGTCCCCACTCTTTAAACAAAAGCTGAAGTTTCCAAGAGGACCCATATGTATTGTGCTACTCCTAACCTTATAGGAAATTGAAATAAGAGTGTGATTGGATATTGGTTGTATCAGCAAGTACTGTCAGCTCCAACCATATCTGAATATAAAAGAAAATTCTGATCGTTTCATAAGATGGCATACTAATACCTTTAAAATTAGTCGTTTAATAATCAAGGAAGCCTCTGAGCTGGTTGACAAGGGCCTCCCCACAAAGTGAGAAATGATTAGCGTGTTAGGGGAATTCTTTTGTTGTAACTGAATCCTGAAAGAAAAAGAACTTTTACAAGAATGATGAGGCTTTCACAACAACATATTAAACATTAAGTACTTTCTGACAAGAACAACAATCACTTTTCAATAAATCCAGGGAAGTTCCTTTGTAGCCCATTCTCAGATCCTTTTAAATAAAGTTTAAAAATTATAGACTCAGTTTCAGCTACAAATTGAGATCAACTAACCTATCACAAAATAGTTTACATGGGAGGTTAGGGTATTAGTAAAATGAACATTAACCTTTAATTAAAAATATATTACTAAAGGAAAAAGACATTTATCTGTTAGGTACAAAAATATTAACTCCCAAACATAATTTTAAATCAAAGGGGGGGAAAAAGAAAAAAATCAATGTAAACAATAATTATGAATGAAAATATACATATTTCTACTAATGTCCACTGCTGTTGATACTGACTCATAGAGACCTTATAGCACTGTTCTCAACCTTCCTAATGCCGCACCCTTTAATACAGTTCCTCATGTTGTGGTGATCCCCAACCATAAAATTACTTTCATTGTTACTTCATAACTGTAATTTTACTACTGTTATGAATCATAATGTAAAATATCTGATATGCAGGATGTATTTTCATTGTTACAAATTGAACATCATGAAAGCATAGTGATTAATCACAAAAACAATGTTATTATGTATTGTGAAATATTCATTTCTTTTTTTGAAATATTCATTTCTAATGACAAATAAATGAAATTTTGTCTTGAAGCTTGGTGTAACATGGGTAACAGTTTTCACGCTGTGTACTCATAAGAGGGCGTATCTGCATGTGGGCGGACCCGCCTGGAGATGGATAGAGAAGCAGTGTCTCGGCTCCTAAGACCATCGGAAATAAGTGTTTTCTGATGGTCTTAGACGACCCCTGTGTAAGGGTCGTTCGACTCCCCAAAGGGGTCATGACCCACAGGTTGAGAACCGCTGCCTTATAGGAGTCAGTAGAATGGCTCTACAGGGCTTCCTAGGTTTGTTGATTCAAACCATCAACCCCTCGGTTAGCAGCCAAGCACTTAACCACTCTGCCATCTGGTTACTACTGGTATGAGTAGGAATTAACCACGACATGAAGCAACAATAATATTCTCAACATTAAAAAAACAAAAACCCTAAAATGAAAGATTGTTAATTTATGAAGGTTAACACACAATCTGAAGAACGAGTCTGGAGTCATAGGTATTGTGATGATATTTTCATTTTGATGTCCATATGTGGATAAGTTAAAAAGCTTTACTACCAAATCATAGAAACTTTTATTCAATAAAAATACCCAAATGTGAAGCTATTGTTTCTCAACATATCCTTTAGTTAGGTCTACAAGTTTCTGAAAATGGTTTTCATCTCTCTAACACTTCTACCCAAGAGTTCTGGACTCTTTAATTTACACCATGTCAGAATAGCCGTTTTGGCGTTCCTCAGGCACTCAGACTGTGTTCTTTTTAAATGTTCTCGAATTTTAGGAATAAAAAGAAGTCTGACTAGGCAGGATATGGGAAAGGTTTCCCAGTAAAACTCTTGTAGCACAGTGCTTGCCACCCTCAAAGAATGAGCAGGGGCTGTGATGGAAAACATTCCCAAATGCAACTTTCCTGGCCTTTTCCTCACGAATGCAGTTTTCAAATTTCGTAGCATTTCTTCGTACTAAGCCCCTTGGAAATTAAAAAACAACAACTGGCCCAGTAGATCCCTAGAATGCATTGTTTTGATCCAATTTTTTCTTGAAAACTCTAAACAAGACTAAGACAAGTGTATTCCTTTAAGGACTTAACATGACCAGAACTACTGAATTCAGAGATAGGCTTAAACTCATACCTGTATGAACTGAAAACCTCATAGCAGTACTTTTTGACTGACCCTTAGCATCTACCTTTGACTTGTTGTTCCAAATATTTAAAATCCCTATGGAACTTTTAATATGAAGCAAATAAATGAAAGTAAAGGCACATCATCTCCATAAATCACATAATCCAGCCAGTCACACTGACCAGTCTTACCCAGCATGCCTCTAGCTCTTCCCTGCATCATTTGTGTACCCATCAGGCTCACATTTCCTATTCTTTTTCTCTGTATCTTCACTCTAACATACAAATTATAAAATTTATTCTATTCTTTATTTCATTCTTATTTTATTAGTAAATGTTTAATATAGGCCATGCAATGGCTGCAACAATGACTCAAACATACCCACTAATCATGAAGGTGGCACAGGATGGGTTAATGGTTTTTTCTGTTTCAAAAAAAGGGTGCCGGGAGGGGGGAAAATGAGGAGCTGATTTTAAGGGCTCAAGTAGAAAGCAAATGTTTTGAGAATGATGTTGGGAACACATGTACAAATGTGCTTGACACAATGGATTTATGTATGGATTGGGATAAGAATTGTACGAG